AGAGATACTTAAAAAATGAAGATAAGTGTCATTGGTTATCAGACCTCTAACCATTTGATTCCTCCATCCCATTTTTTGACATTAGAAAATTAAAGACAAATCAATTATAAATCTATTTGTGACAGGAGTGGGCCCGTCTCTTAAGAGCATTCATTTAAAAAGACATAATTCCATCTTTTCTTTTTCCGACAGAGGCTATCCAGATGGTGTTCATTTTTATTAGGCATAGTTTCTTTACTCAAGTACATGTTCTACCTCCGGTTATCACTTTAGACACACATGTTTCATCAGTTAATGAGTGCAATGTGAAGTGATTATTTGCCAAGTAGACCTCATTCTAAATCATACATTTTGTGCCACCTTTAACACAGAAGTTTCCCATGAATACCCCTTGCACATTCTGCAGGTAAAGCATCAAGTGATACTTATGGAGATGTGAATTAGATCTTATTAGATCAAAGTCTAAGCCTCTGCAGATGCCATTATTTTACTTTTTACCACCAATGGAACCGTAAGGATAAAGTACTGTGCCATTATCAGGACCCCAGAACTGAGTTAGTGTAGATTCTTGTGGTATATAACATCTGTTTGCACTAGCTGTGATTGAAAGTGCCACAGGATCAGCTTCCAAGGCAACTAGCTTGAAGGTAAGTACCCTTTTACTAATGGCATAATGGAGCCAAAGTTCACAGAGTTGAAGCATTAATACTTTTTGACTAGCGAGGGTGATGTCATCTGTCTCACTCTGACCCTGCCAGTTTCCCCATTCTCTCTGAATCTAGCTGCAATCCTCAAAATATCCAGTAGCTCTTCCTAGCAATATTATATTGTTTTGAGCTATCCTTGTTGTAATGCTAAGAGAGTGTCATTGGCCTTCTGTTCTGCCTCATGGTCACTGTGCTGTGGGGTTTTACCTTGTCTCCCATGTCATTACTGTTCTGTCTGAATCCATTGCTTGGACTGCTTGAGACCAGCTTCAATTAGTCTGGTAGCTATAGACTTTCCAGGACAGGGATAAGTTAGCCACAGTAGACCATGCATTGGTAACTTCCTTGTTAGACTATTGCAAGGCACAATGTTCATGTGCTGAACATTATGTGGGGCTGCCCCTGAAGACAACTTGGAAACTGCAGCTATTGCAAAATGCAGCAGCTATACTGCTGACTGGAACTTAATTCAGAAAGTATATAACACAAGTTCTGAAGGAGTTGTACTGTTCACCAATATGCTTGTACTGTTCACCAATATCTGAATTCTGGGTGCTGGTGATAACATTTACAACCCTAAATGGCTCAGGACCTCAATATTTGAGGGAGCACCTGCCCGAGAATTGTGCCTGCCTGCCTCCCTGAGAATTGTGGTCAATTGGAGGAGCCTTCCTCTATGTCCCAGTGATAGGGGAAATATATTATGGGAGCACATGGTAAAAAGTCTTCTCTGTGTTAGCCCCCCAGTTGTGGAATAACTCCCTCTTGAAGGCCAGTTGGCATCAATGTAGATATCATTTTCCAACAAGTCAACACATGGCTTTTTATTAAAACATTCAGGCCTAATTGATCTTATCCAGGCTGCAGCTTTGCTGTGGTTGCACTATTTCAGATGGGCCTAACTGGTATTTAAATTGATAAATAATTTAATATTTTTACTCTTTTTAAATTATGGTTAAAATTTATTGTTTCAAATCAATTTTATTGTAAGCCCTTTTGAGATCTTCAGGTATAAGGCAGGCTATATTAATTAATTAATTAATTAATTAAGTATATTTTGGTGTTGCTAGTTCTAGAGTAGAAAATTATGATCATTTAGTTACATTATGTATTCTATTCCTTGTAGAGATATAAATTGCCAGTTCCTGTGGGTTTTCAGATTCTTGGTGTGGCTGTGGCTGTGGGACTGTCATGTTGAGCATATGCGCTTCCAAATTGGTTACTGCTTAGTGTCTTGCACATAGCTCTTTATGTAGAAATGCAGATGTTAGTGCTGTCACTGAACTGGGCAAATTAGTACCATTGGAGGGAATATGGAAAATTATCCCTTACTCTTTCACTGCACATCTGTTTGGTGGCCCTAACATGTTGATCAGGATAGGAAAGAAAAGGCCCCAGTGATGTGACTTTCAAAATGACTGCCTGCAGCCACGTATCTGCTTTCCCTTGATCTTCCTTAACGTACTAAAGTTTAAGAGGCTAAAGTCAAGGCTGTTCCTTGCTGTGTGATTCTCTAGAGAGTGGCACTGAAGCAGAACTGCCATGTCTGAGCTGGGAGGAAAATGGAGTGAGGAGAATGAGAAATGGCACACAGTGCAGGCACTGCTACCATTATGTGTGCCAGTGTGCTTGCCCATTTTCAGCATAAAGTAAATAAAGGAGAAAAACAAGAGCAATCATTTTCTGAAAGAGGGGGAGACTGAATGAAGGGGGGAGTAAGTGGAAGGGGGAAAGGCAGAGAGCGGCGTGCAGATGGGGAAGAGAAAAGATCGAAAATGCAACACAATTGAAAGGCGAGGAAATGGACAAACACTGTCACAAAAGAAACCTGTTAAACATTATTGTGTGGCACTTGCTGTGCCCTCTCAAAAAGATTTTCTAATTTCAACAGTCCTATTGTAGTTGTATCCTTTTCAAGAAAACCTATGAAGGTAGACAACTGATTAAATAAAAAAAATAATGTTTGCTTAATCAGCAGCCCTTATTGATTGATCGATTACTATTAAATAAAAGCGTACGAGTGCCCTTTTCCAGATACTGAAGCAAATATGTGAGTACTCTAAAATCTTCTGAATTTTCCATGAGGATAATAGGCTGACACAAAAACATCTCCAAAAAGTAAGCAACTATGCCATATTACTCACAGCATCAGCTATTAAAACTGACCTCCATATCAACCAATCAGTTGTTTTTTAAACTAATGAAAACTTGGCTCCCAAACAATAATGCATGTTAGCAGCCACATTCTGCATCTATCACCCACAACTGTTATTTCTGTAGATTATCGGACTGATGTGACTAAGGGCCTTTACAGACTGCCAGAAATAATGCAGCTTGAGTCCACTTCAACTGTCCTGGCTCAGTGCTAGAGAATCATGGGAATTGTAGTTTTTTTCTGAGACACTGAGCCTTCTCTGTCAGAGAACTCTGGTGCCACAATAAACTACAGTTCCCATGATTCCCTAACACTGAGACAGGGCAGTTAAAGTGTTCTCAAGCTGCATTATTTCTGGCAGTCTGTAAAGGCCCTAAGTATTTCTTATTACCTTATTGCATTGCATTGTAATGGGTTGTTCATCCCTGGAAGAAAGAACTGGCCTGAGAGCAGTGGCATCCCTAGGGTTGGTGTCATTTGGTGGAGTCACTCATGGTGTCACCCCACTTGACCTCCTCCCATTTCACATAATACAGAATCCTTAGTAATGCTTTTGCTTTTTTTTTTTTTGCGCTAATGTTTACTTGTAAATCGTAATTCCCATATACCATTGTATGTAATGCTAATAATTGTGACATAAACAACTAGCAAAATTAAAACTGTACTTTCAAATTACAATATCATAGGCACAACCTCAATGTATTTACATA